CATTACAAATACTTCTAATGCCACTGACATTTGTAACAATGTAAGGACAACTCATGGTACTCCATATGTAAAGATATAGAACTAAGTTAGAAATAGACTGTTGCAGAAGTGCAGATAGTTTGGGTTCTGGTTTTCTGTCCCTGAACATCACAAAACCAGTGATATTATCAGTAAAATTACAAATTGAAAATCTGTTGGCAAATCCATGGCTTTATATTGCCATGGTTTTCAAATTGTCATTTTTTTTTTTTACAACCACATCATAACATTTCTGTTAAATATTAGTTTTGGTGTGCCACCCCTGGTTTTTCAGTGCCGCCCCCCAAAAAAAATTTAATAAATAAATAAAATCTGCAGGCTCCACTGTGAAAACCAAAGACGACATGGCTTTTTCTTCTAGGGCTCCAAAACTTTAGAAATCCCTTCCTCTGATTCTCAAATCAGCTGACTCAGTGGCCTCCCTTAAAGGCCAGGTGAAAACCTTTTTTAATCTGATTTTGGATAAATTTGCTTTGTGTATTCGTTGTTCTGCTTGTTTAAGCCCTTTCTTATTTATTTATTTATGATAGGTGCTATATAAGTAAAGCTACACTTCTTAAAATCTGTACCTCTACAGCTGGTAAACCTTTGTAGGCAACCCAATTCATTATTGTTGCCACAGCTATTTTACCTTAATTAATGTAATTATTTAATAAATTTGGGAATGAAAGAGTTGTTGAAAACTCACTAAAACAATAAACATACATTAGTTGTAATAGCTTTATTATTATTATGCTACTTCATTTACCTGCATAGGGCTAATACCCAGTTTGAAGTTCGTGCAAATTTCATTAAACATCAACCGACCTGTATTCACTCCTGAATGCAACAAAATAACTCCGCACAATAACTGTCGCTTCAGTTTCATTGCTGAGGACGAAGAGGATGAAATGAAACCGAAACTTATCCCAGTTCGTTCATCAGTGTTATGAGTACCAGAGATGTTTATGACTTTCAACATAAGCAATATGCTCATTAAGCTACAGGTTCAAAACACACTAAAATATCCAATAAACACAACTAAATAAAACTAACGTACCTTCTCGGATACACGGTTTATAAAAAAAATAGCATATTAGCATAAAATCTACGTACCTAGCACTTGCCCATTTTGAAATCTTCGTCCAAGTTGACCCAGCGAGTTCTGCCCGCACGACAAAACTTTTCCGTCTGCTTTGAGGAATAAAGTATGCCGTTCTCCGCAGCTAATGCTGCTCAAAACCCCGGGGACAGACCAGCATACCGGGCTCARAGCTGCCTGAGGACCGAACTGTCCAGAGGAGCTGTCGCCCCAACAGTACACCTGCATGTCTCCACGAAGACTGACCCGTTATCTGAAGCTGAGGGGTTTTAAAGCTGCTGATGCTTTCAAACGCTATCGGAAATGCTAAAATCTCGGGGAGGCGCGTGAGAAAAACGCTCATTTTTATTGATAAATTATTCACAGTGCGCCGTTTTTCTATTTGAATAAAATAGTTGACGTGACATTTAGGATTTTTACTGCCTACATGTACAGCATTTCGAATTTGATTACTGTTTAGAAGCAACGATAACAAAAACAGTTGTAATTTACGAGCTTTTAAGGATGCACTTGAAAGCAGCACAGGAGAAGTAAACTCTCGTTTTCACTGAATCGCATCTGGCAAATACCCATAAAGTTAAYTAGAAGCACTCATAGCGGACACTTCCAAGACCCAGGTCACTTACTCATGTGATCCAGATCACACCCAAAATTTAATCGTATGTTTTTGTGATAACCTCAACATTTCAGAAACTTTCATGAAAAATCCGTTCTTGAGTAATGCACAAACACTCAGTCAAAGGCAAAAGCATTTTATTTTTAACCAAGTTAAATAATGAAAAGTCGATCTGAGTAGTAAAAGACAGATGAGTAAAGTCAGATACCAAGATATTTACTAAAGAATATAACAAAATCTAAAGCCTGTCTTTGACTTTTGTCGAAAGGTGAAACTAAACTGAAAGCATTCAAAACATTCAAAGCAGGAAAAACAAACCAAACTATCACGTAAAAAAAAAACCCGTCAAAATGAACTTGGCCAGCAAGAAATAATGACCTAAGACCACATAATATTGGGTTTGTTTTGACAAAAGCAGTTCAGTGGTTCTCTGTCAAAAGGACATTTTTCCAGGTGACCTTTTAATTCTTCCTCTTCCTCATCAATAGGAACCTCTGTAAGAGAGAACACACCGACAGAGCCGTCCTCAAAACCCACAAACACACTCTGATGCTCACTCACCATCAGAGTCAATGGATTCTTACACAAATGCACACTTCCTATTCGCTCTCCATCCGAAAGCCGTGCGATGGTCAGGATGAGGTTTGTGCGCAGCAGACAGGCACAGTTGTTCTCCACACTGGATGAGCTGAATATGTACGCGAGATAGCATCCAGTTTTATCCAAGCAAGCCCTAATGACCAAACCCTCTGCTTTGAATGAGCACAGTCTGACCTGAGTTAGATCTAAGATATTAATGGAGTTATTATCAGTGGACAGCAGTGCATAGCTTCCATCAGAGGACATTTGGAAGTCTTGCGGCTGACAGCGAAACATACTTGGCAGCTGAAACTGCTGGCACACGGTCTCCTCCGACATCTTCCAGGTGTACACCGCTCCTGAGGCAACCATCACCACGACAAAGTTTGGGTGCGTGGAAAGTGCATGGAAAGCAATGACGCGCTCCGAGTTCTCCACGCAATAGAAACGCTTGCTGATGGACCCTGACCACAGACTGGCAGCGAGCAGGTCTCCGCCACGGAGGCCGAGGAGGAAGGTGCTCTCAGGCGACACCCGAGCGTGGGATAGGTACTGATAAATGCTGCACACGATGGCTCCGTGCGCCATCTTCCACACACGGGAGAGTCCTTGTTTGGATATGCTCACGCCAAAGTTACAATTGGGGGCGATCAGGACGTTTGTGGCTCTGCTGCCGCTGATCCGCAGAAAATTCTGACCCGTTTCAGTCTGCCACACGTAGATCTCTCCCCCTGAGAGGGAAACGAGGTGGACGCCGTTTGGAGACAGGCGCAGCTTGTCTACAGGCGCTTGGTGCAGAAAGTTAGCATGTGGAAGTGCTGTGTCTAAACTCCATTTCCACATATTTTCTGACCCGTCTGACGTGTAAAACCACTTTCTGCTTCGCTCGACTGCGACTCCTTTCACGCCGCTCCTCATTTTCGGGGCCGTTGCCGCAGCACTGATCATCTCAGAGTCCCACACCGTTAGGCAGCCGTCGCGATGGACGCAAACGACGTCTGAAGCCACTTTGAGGATGGTGTGGGGCTGACCGTTTATCTCTAAAGAGAGGATACACTCCCCGGTGTGCCTCCACACCAAGACGGAGGTGCAGGAGTCTAACAGCGCCAAAAATCGGTGCCTGTCCACGGACAGCACTGCTTGAATGAAGGCTCGCCCCTGTGGAGCCAAGAACTGGTCCCACAGCTCCCAGTTACATGTATCCCACAACGTCACCTGATGAGGCTGGCACACCAAAAGAGTGCTGGCTTCTTCAGCATAATCTGTATTTTCAATGGTGTGGGATTTATCCTGAGTAAAGATTTCTTTGACAAGTCTGGGTGGTTGCATTTTGTCAGCTATGTTCCATAACACAATGCTCCCAGTCCTGTCAACACATGCTATTAATTGCTTCTCTTCACAGAGGATTAAGAACGCAACTACGCTTCCGTTTGAGCAGGAGCCAATAAGGCTGCTGGTTTTCATGTCAAATACCGACACTGTGCCGTCTTCCTGTCCACAGTACATGCAGAAACTACCGATTGAGCAAACCACACAGGTCACAGAGCTCTGACACTGGAAATGAGTCACGGTCTCAGTAGAGATGTCAAAGACGCTGACAAAGGTTTCCTTTTCCCACCACACGCATAACATATTCTGCCACGCAACGAAGCCCTCAACTACGTTTGGTGTTCGGCTCGACTGGAATTCCGTTTTCAGAGGGTCGACGATTTCTCGAAGCCTCTGCTGGTCTGTCACGTCCCATGCGAAAAGCTTGTTGCACCTCGTGGAAAGCAGCAGGAATCGGCCGCTGCTTTTCACTCCGGCAAACTTCAGCGTCTGCTGCTCGCCGCTCGGAGACAGTTTGACAAGATCGCGACCGCAGCCTTTCCAAATCCAAACAGAGGCATCATCCATGACCTCCACAACAACCCCACATTCTGAGCTAGCTGTTTCTGAAACACAAACTCTGCTGGTTTCAAACTTTAGAAACTGAATAGGTGGAATAGAACAGGGACTTGGGCAAACGACTAATCCCAGTCCTCTTCTGCTTTTTCTTCTTTCCTGTCTGATGCCTTTGACAAAACCTCCGAGAGCAGGTAAGACCTCCAGGTAAGGGAGGAGGCTGGTCTCCATTATTGTCGCCAGCTGCGTTGGCGAACTCTGCAGGAAGCAAGCAGAAGACTTCAAAATGCTCGCTAGGAGCAATCGTTCTCTTAAAAACGTTGACCCTTCACCAGCCTCCAACATGGCCACCAGGTCCCCCAGAAGACCAGCTTGAACCAGAGCTTGGTGAAAACCTGAAGACTTTAACAGCCCACATTCCTCCATCCTGCCGCTTTGTTGCAAGTGATGTGATAACTCTACGACACTTCTAGTGCTGACGTGACTTATATTACCAGAAGAAGGGAAGATGAATGGCTGGCTGTTTGGCTGTTTGTCTACGTCACTGTTCGGTTCAGATAAATGCTCTACATGAAGTGGTTTCCCATCGCTCCAACCCAATTTTTCACTAAAATAGTTTGCCATCTCCGAATGCACCCTTCTCCTCAACTCATCAGAGCCCAGGTACTTTTTTACAACGACCAACTTGAAATGCCTGCTCACCCAGARCAGAACCTGCGTGTTTGAAATCGTTCTTTTCACCAGAAAGTCCTTCAAATCCAAAAGCAGCCTCTCCACAGCGACAGGAAGGACCTTCAGCTTAGAGACGAGGCAGTCGCTCCGAGGCGTGCCTTCAGCTGGAGTCTGATCGTCACAGGATAAGAGGTCGGCCAGCTCGGCCTCGGAGAGTCCAGTCCTGGAGAGGCTGAGGCAGGAGAYTGAACGAGCTACGATGGAGGAGACGTGTTTCAGCTCCAGCTGATCCAGGAGAGCAGAAATGGAGGAGTGGACTCCATCGGGCAGAGACGACTCTGTCACATCTGTGTCTGAAGCGAAGAGAGAGAGAAAATGGATTCAGTTGTAAAACTCATTCCAGTAAAAGACCACATGTKGGTTTGTATTGGACTATGAATAGAGTTTACCTGAGCTTCATCRGGTAGACATATTTAAAGTATGATTAAAATAAAAGTCGGGGTTCATCAACTGTTTTATGATCCTTATGATGAGCTTGTTTCACTGTTCAGCTCATTGATGCAGATAGTTACCTTGGTCTAGTACAGGGCTATTCAACTGGCGCCCCGCGAATGACCAAAGATTGGCTCGCCACTTGGTTCATTAATCTCTTAAGCCCAAACACCCAGTTTTCTACTTAAATTCCCTTACGTTCTTTTAGTTTAACGTCAGAATCTTGGCTAGAAGCTGGTAAAAACCATTTCTATGAACACCCAATGCAGTTGAAACTACAAGATAAAACAATGAAAGTGAAAATAAAATTGATTTAAATTTTTTGAAAAATCAGCAATGTCAAAATTATATTTGTGTTAAATAGGAGGCATAATGTGTTGTTTTTAATTTTCGTATGTTTTATTATCACTACTTTTATTACATAGGTTTCTATTGGTTGTATTTATGATTAAACAAAAAATAAACTTTTTCAGAGATAACAGATCTTTGTAATACTTGGTTTATTCACTTAATGATTGTAATAGCTGTATGTTCAGCCCTTCAGCTGTTGGCCTGCAGTAACTGTGGCCCCAAAGCAATTTAGTTGAATAGCCCTGGTCTAGTACCATTGCAGTATTGTACAAAGTAAAGAACTTATTTAATGATAAAGCACTGTTTATGTTGTATAATGCAATAATTGTTCCACACTTAATTTATTGTGTTGATGTTTGGGGAAAAGCATGTAAAACAATAACAAATCCTGCTTTTATTTTACAGAAAAGAGCTATAAGAATTATTACCAGAAAACATTACAGTCACCMATCAAAYTCMTTGTTCCATCAGTTGAAGTTATTTAAATTCAATGATTTGGTTGATTATAACATTTTGTCAGTTATGTATAGGGCCCATAAAAATATATTACCTTCAAACATCCAATTACATTTTGTTAAAAGACTAAGTTGTTACAATTTGAAGGTGATAGARATGTTTGTCAAAYCTAAAATTAGAACCAGTTTGAAGGAACGGAGTACGTCCAGGGAATTAAATTATGGAATAATCTGGAGGATAACGTTAAAAAAGCCAGATATGTGTATATTTAAGAAAATGATAAAGGTAAATCTGTTGGAGAAATATGTATAAGTATAAGGCATGAATTGTTTTTTCTTTCATTTTTTTGTACGTTGTAAATTGAAGATTTTTTTGATTGAATTTATTTAAGAAAAAGGGGCAGAAATCATGATTCTTTTCTTCTTCTGGTACCTTTCATTCAATTTGTTTTTTAGTTGTATGTTGGATTTATGTTGTTTTGTTTTAAATGGATAAACTTTATAATAATAATAGTACCTACTGAAACAGCATTTAATTTCAGTATTTAGAAGGTCAGTTCTCACAACACAGGTATAAGAAAAAGAAACCCAAATAACACCCAAAGTGTCAATAAACGTCTGATCTAAATGCAAACTAAACACATTATAAAAGGGACATTTTTGAAGACATCTAAACAGAATCACACTAAATAAACACAATTAATAAAGATATACAGTATAAATTATTCAGAGACTTTCAGTAACTTAAGGCCTCACATGTAGTGTTGACAAAAATTTACAGAATGTTGAGTTTTCTATTTTCTACCTGTATGTCGAGTTTTCTGTGAATTATATTAAAATATTCTATTTACATGTACATCTGCATGAGCTTCCAGGTTTTTGGCTCTAAATCTAAAGCTCTACCAAAACCACCTCACTGTTGATTGTTGCTTTAACAAACATCTGTTCACTCCAAAATTAAAGGTGTTAACCATCATACCTGAGTGCCACAGTGAGGTGTGTGCATGCAGGAGTCGAGCRTAGAGAGGCAGGCGGCAGGAAGTCAGAGCCCGGTTCACCAGTGCTTGTTGTCCCGACGTCACTCTTCTCCCTGAACTTTTCAGCAAGGACTCCAACAACTTCGCACATCGTTTCCTGTCCCCAGATTCCAGCCGGACACCAACATATCCCGGCTCTCTTTCACCACTGCCCGACGAGACACGCGAGTGACCTTTTGCTGAGTAATGTAATTCAATGGCTTGCAGAAGACGTGCAGAACGGGGGGAAGCTGTGAGGATGAGTTTGATGCCGTGGGGAAGCGGGGAAGGGAGGCTCCTGATTATCTGGGCGCCGCCGTCTTCTTCCAGTTGATCCAGTCCATCGAGTAGGAGGAGGAGGGGACGTGTTGTGGAAGAAAACCGGGAAAGGAGGGATTCGAGACACTTTTTAGAGTCAGACAGACAGGCTTTAACTTTCATGACAGAGAGGTTTAAGTTCTCATCAGAAGGATGTTCCAGAGCAGACATCGAGCTGCAGCTGGGATCGTCTGGYTCTCTGCAGGGGCCAAACCTGGGATCGCTTTTAGACAAAGACTGGACCTCATTATATCGGAAAGCTATTTGAGAACACAAACTGGAGAGCAGATGCTTTGGAGTCGTGTTGATTGACAAGCTGCAAAAATAACCAATCACCACAGGATCGCTGTCAGCCAGCCACGACTTTATCTGGAGAGAAAAATAAAACAAAACATTTAGATTTTGAAAAATAAAACAAAACATTTAGATTTTGATTCTTAACATTTTTATTGATTCTATTTGAATTTAAAATAAAGACTAAACATCCAAATAATATCCAGTACCACTGTCTAATAGTTTTTCTTCAATCTATAAACTTGCTTCATCTTAGGAATAACATTTAAATGATATGAAAAAAATGCTTGTAATTTTTTACAAAAAGCTTAAATATAGTAAAGGGTGTGCCTAAGAAATAAGTTTGAAAAGCAACATGATAAACCACCCTAGACCTGCTGAGTGCAGCGTGCAATTAACACAGTTTTCCCGGTGCATGGTCCCCCAGTCACCACCAGAGGGCGCTGTTGATCCCTCAGTTTCACGTAAGCTTGGATCTACAAGAGATAAAAGTAATCATTCGATTTTTACTTATTTATTGACTCAGGTTTAATAGGAACTTAAAAATATTAACCCATAAAATGACAAAACACTTTAAAGTGTTTTCTTCTTCTCACCGTGTCCTCCTCTGGCAGAGGGATGTCGTACAATCGAGACAGGATGTCGGACAAACGCTCCTGCTGGAGCCGCTCTTCGGATAAAGCATCCCTAATGTGAGTGTCTGCTCTGGGCAGAGAAACGTTCAGGCCGTCAGTCAACGTCAGGAGGTCTGAGAACACCTGCTGGCAGAGGGAGTGGGCGTAGCTTCGCCTCCTGGCTGTAGTGTACCCGTGTCGAGGGTCACACTCTGTGTTCGTGGTGTACAGCAGAAGTTGACGGGAAGTGACGAGAGCAGGCAGGAAGTTGTCGCACAGTTCTGATAAAAGTTCACCTCGCGTGGGCATGGCCCCGTCACAAGTCTCATCCTGGAAATTTAAGAATGTAAAAATTCGACATGTTTCAAAATATTAGGTTCAGGCTTTCAACCAACAAGTCTGGGAATCACTCTGATGGGACTAAAATACAATATTGTTCATATTTTAACTAAGGAAATGGGAACAAATAGAGTCTTTGTGACAGAACATTGTTAAAATCAGAAAATATTCAATTTAAAATTAGTTTATTTAGTTTGTTACATGTCAACATAACACAGGAGCTTTTAAAGTGCCTGTGACGTGCATATGCTTCAAATACAAAAAGTCAAAGAAAACATCTTTATTCTTAAGAAAATTGCCCTAATACACATGATTTTACTCACTTTGTCACATAACTGGCCTATTTTCTTTGGAATTTGTCTCAGCCAAAGTAAAACAGGAAGTGACATCAAAGGGGAACTCATTAATAAAATAAAATATCTGGTCATTTTTTAATTAAAATATAATTTAAACTTTAACTCTTTTTCATCTCTCTTTGATATAGACTCAAAACAAACTAAAGAAACATCCGATTCTACTATACAGTCTGTAATGTTAGCCGTTGTAACAATGCCCTGTCCTTCCCCTTTGACATCTCTTCCTGTTACTTCACATGCAAATATCTCAACAACTGTTCATCTCAGTGACGTGAGATTTGTTTTACAAGAAGTTAGCAATGTTATCTTTCCAAAAATGCATTCATATTTATCTAAAAAATTTGATGTCATATGCACTTTAATGAATGAATGAATGAATGAATGATTCACAGGTCCACGTTAAGTAGACTAACAAACATGAAAATCCTTCAGAAAGTCTGGAGAACAATCGATCAAGAACCCTTTAAAAGATAAAGTCTGGATGCTTGGAAATAACATATAAGGAGATTATGGATAACTTAAGACTTATGCACAGGAGAAATAAGTATTTTTTTTATTTTTACCTTTGAATTCGGCTGCAGCTGTGAATCCATCAGTTGTTTCTGTTCGTCTTGCTTTGCRTTGATGACATTGTGGATATAGACTACACAGCGGCTGACGTCCTGAACAGAACCGTCGTCCAGAGCGAACCTCAGGTCTGCGTCTAGAGCTGGAGACAAACATCACAGCAAAGGTTTAGTTTGATTTTAACGAACAGCTGAGGGATTCCAGCCTCAGGCAACATTTGAACTGCATAGTCCATACCATACCAACTTTATTTATAAAGCACTTAAACAACCATAGGACCAAAGTGCTGTACAGTCACAGTCAATAAAACACACAACAGTCACATTACATACCAAAAGCCAAATCCAAAAAGTCATACTGCATTGACTTTCCTAACACAAACCTAAGTGTCTCACCTGATCTGCAGAAGACCCGGGCTCTCTTTGGACTCAAGACCTTGTTTTGGACGCTCAGACTCACGGCTGTCCGAAACTCCTTCCTCACTTCTTCTTCTCTACATTTTCCATTGCTGGTAGCTTTTCCCATCACTTCTACCTTCCGAGCAAAACCAAAACATATTTTAGAATACAGTGACTCAGTTTTGGTAATTGATCCTAAGATGCCAGGTGCTCAGTTAAAAAAATAAAAGCTTTAGGATCAGGCAGCAAAAGGAAACAATCATCACCGTCAGGCGGTAGGAGGGAGGGATGGTGTTCTCGTCCCTCTGGTACGCCGTCTCCAGGTGACAGGTGGAGACGCCCGCCTGCTGGCTCTCCTGCAGGAGCAGATGGTACTCTGTCACCTCCACCTGGGTGGGCAGACCGGCTGCTCCGTACTGGTGTCCTATCAGGGCCTGCAGCACCACCATGTGGAAAAAGAAGGAACAGCATACATCAGCGTAGATTAGCTTTTTTTTTTAATTTTTTTTTTTTGTTTGCTGATGCTGCGAATGCACAGCTTAACTATTGTTATAACAATTACTTTACAAAACTCTGCTGTTAAAATGCTTTAGCTTAAATTGCCATTTTAGTTTCTAATAATCATTCGTTTGTGTCCAACTTAAATCTGGCAAAAAAAAAAAGCTTAAACTAAAACAGAGTTTTCATTTCAGAATTACTTTTTTATGTCAAAAAGAAGCTTGTTGCTRCATTTGTTTATGTCCACACTGGATTTTAGGGGTGTAATCTATGCGCCCATATCTTCTCAAAATGTACTTTGGATGCTGTTTATCATGGAGCTACACTTGTGTTGGATGGTCTGACTGAGGCACTGGATTATTTTAACTTATAAGGCTTCTTTGGGCCAGCTCTCAAATTATAAGACCACTATTCATCAAAAAATATGCTACCACCTGAGGGTAACAGTTTCAGTCTCAGGAAATCTGCTTGTTGTCAGCACCAAACGTTCAAAGTTTAAAAAAAAAACCATTTAAATATGAACCTAATACCTGGAATATCCTGCAAAATACCCTGGAAATAAAGAAAATTTTTAAAGCACTTCTAAATGACTTGAAACAACTGGTTGTAGATGTTTAACCTAATACAGATTTTTCTGAAGTCTCAGAATACGTTTGCGTGGGTTTTGGCTGTAATTTGTGAAGAACTCTTTAAAGAGATTTTTAATCTCAGTGTTTCCTGGTTAGACTACGGTAAATGAAATTAAAAACTAATGCTGATTTAGTTCTTGGTAATTTTGGAAGTTTTTATTATAATGTGTTTTACTTTTTTGTCTACTTCTCGCGTATTATTAGTGAAATTTGGAGTTATATCATCAGAACCATAAAACATAAAGGTAAACAGAGCATGGTAGACGTGAACACATGATCAAACAGCTCAGTTTAGTCAAAGTTTTTCATATTATCAGTTGATTTGACAAAACTTTATCCGCCTAGAAACTGACGTGTTTTATATAAGCCTTTAAAACAAATAAAATCTTTAAAATGCAAACAAAAAATTAGCTGAAAATAGTCATTTTATAGGTTATATTTGGTGCCGACTGCTCCTATCACTCGTGCTGAAACTCTGTGCCCTTTAAAATCTGTGTTTGCTGTGTCATGTTCAAAGTAATTCACCAGTAAAAATGGTCCAGCTGAGCTCTCTCTGCACTCTTCAATCAGCCGCTCTCTGGTGTTTTCATCTGGCCAGCAGCTGGGATCACTGGACTCAAACGGGTCTATCACCTGCAGAAGTAAAATGAAGGTTAAACAACCTGAAGATCTGGAGCAGAAAAGCTCCCAAAGAGCGTCAAGAAGAAAACAAGGGCCAAACAGTGGCTGAATGACCGATGATGCTCGTCCTCCGTTCAATTACACAAGCTGCTGAACAGAACACACCACACAAAGGGCTGATCGACTTGTCCCGAGGTGCTTCATTACACACACACACACACACACACACACACACACACACACACACACACACACAC